GCTACCTTTATAAATGATCAAGTAAGGAGTAGTAAGTAATGGACTCTTCTCCACGCCTTTGTGTGTATTAGGCATACTGGGCTAGACCTGTTATAGCTACTTTCATACACTAGGATAATAGTGCATTGCCCACCCATCCCAGGCTACTGATACTGCTACAACTACCGGCACCGCTGCTTCTGTTGCTGCTACTACTAGATTTGATAGCCACCGTGGTATAGTGGCTAGACGTTGGCTTTGGGATCTCAAAGTCGCGGGTTCAGGTTCTACCGGAGTCGTACGTTTTTTTTTTTTTTTTTTGTAATATCAATAATGACATAAACTCCCAGGGCGACCCAGCCTTAAATGGGTCACAAGTAACGGTACGGGAAGTAAAGGCGGTTGACGTGAAGTTTACCACATCACCCACGATTGGGCTATAAAATATTGATTTATTCGTATGTTGTCAATACGCGTGGACTGGTTTTTTTTTACCCCAGTAGGACATCACACAGAGCGACAAACACCCGGTGATACAAAGTGCCACCATTCGGATGAGGATCATTCGTGGAGAGGTCTCAGAAACCCCGTTCAACCGTCAGGTTATATTAAAGATCCCCAGCAACAACCAGGGTGGGGTCTCAAAATAACGAATAATTGTCCCATATGGGGACGTGGATTGGATTCCTATACGCGCGGAGGCTTGCATTGGAGAATTTACTATTAGATTTCGAGCCATGGTCTTCCTCACTTATCAGCTCGGAACAAGATAAAGTGTGCCAGCCACCGTGCAGACCCAGAGACTGCACCAGATACGCTCCAGCGACTCTGCTCCTGTATTTCTGTCAACATCTCCGCGGGTCTAGATTGAAACCTGTTATGTTGCCGTCAACTCCCGGGTGACGAGATATGAATTGGCTACCCCCCTTGAGTCACCGGCCACGGGAGCAGATAAAGGCGAACTCTGTAATGGTGTTATGACTAATGGCAGTTACGGTTGGGTGGGGCATTTAAGCGTGTGCTGTGCAACCTTGACTTGTATATATTTTGATATATATACTTCAGTATAGACCAGTTTTTTCCAGACTTATTCTAGACGCCAAACATTTATAATTTGTTTTGTGAAGCGTCTCGGAGATTTCATGAGGGCTAAAGGACTGGTTAGGGGTAAAGAGAGGGAATCGCAGATACAGTCACTGCCTGCACACAAGAGTTGAATGAGAGTAGATCACAAGGCAGATAATATAACAGACAGATCGCTTCTCGGCCTTTTGTCTAAGATCACAGTGTAGCTCTGCTGCACTTGGTCTGGCCAGAAGCGCCGGGATCGGTCCCAAACTCACGGAAGTCACTATTCACGGCATGAGCCTAACAATCTCAGAGCCGGCTGGTTTCTCCGTGAGAGGAGACTGACCCGGCGAAAAAAAAAAATAAATATATATATAATAGACAGAACTAAAGATTTTTAAGACACCAACGAAAGAGAAGGCCAGTCACAGAGATGAATGGAGGAGATGATGTCTGCAGCAATGAAACAGACAGAACTAAAGACTTTCAAGACACCAACGAAAGAGAAGGCCAGTCACAGAGATGAATGGAGGAGATGATGTCTGCAGCAATGACCCTCAGGTGCATGGCATGCTCAAGATAAAAACAAGAGGGTATCAGAGATATAGTTTTACAGAAGAATACTTAAAATGCCCCGGCTGGCCAAAGTGAGTAATCCAGATATTGTGAAAGAAGTGAAGACCCGAGGACAATTTAGACAGTCATCATTTTTGGGCATGAAATAAGAATAAAGAAACTGGGGCATTCTGTGACAACTGGAAAGAGAGGCAGAGGTAGACAACTCACAAAATGCCTGACAGTCATTTGTCACGCCAGTCAGCAAGGCTGGTGATAAATACTTCACACTTATGCCTCAGTGCCTTTAGTGATAAGACAAGTAGAGGCAAGTGAAGTGGTTTCACAATGCAGTCAACGTTTACCAGGGCTTTTCGTCTTTCTTCTTCACGTTGGTTGGCTGTGAGCTCCGGTGGAAAATTTTGGTTGTTCGACCACTTTTGGACTGGTTTTGTTCCTGTAATTTTGCATGCAATTTTGAGAGCATGCAGCAACATACGGATGTGAGTCATGGACTGTCTCCCAGTCCTTAGGAAAGAAAGTAGGGCTTTTGAGCTGAAATGCTATAGAAAGATTCTCAGACAAAGAAGACAAGAAATACTGAAATTTTAACAGATCTGAACATCAAGGATGATTGGCTAATAAACAGAATCTTGTATTGGAGGCTGAAATATTTTGGTCATATCAAGCGCCATGGTGGATTGGAAGAAATAATAATAGCAGACTGCTTGGTACCAGGAAGGAGGCGCAGGAGCCGACCAACACGAAGATGGGCATATGATATATCATCATGTGCCCTGCCAACCGGCGTAGGCGCTCCACAGATCACGATCCCTGGTTGCCTGGAACAGCTCTCTTGATTAAATCCCCCCCATACCATCCTTTCAGCCCACCCAGCATCATCTCTCTTGGTCTCCACCCCTTTTCCCACTGAGCTTTCCAGTTGTCACGATGTTCTCCAATGTCTCTCTTCTCATTATAGGGCCGAAGAACAGTGTTTGTCTCTTTCTTATTGTTGTATATAGATATCTACTTTCATTAGCTTCTTTCAAGCAATTGTTGTTAGTTTAAGGTCGTCTAAGGTATTCGTAACATTCGTCTCAGAAACCACGGCTCTGTTGCTTCCAAATTCTTCCTAATTTGTTCGTTAAGATTCCAAGATTCGCTGCCATACAGCAGGACAGGTTCTATGTAACATTTTAGCACCCTCTTTCTGACATTAAATGAGAGCGATTTATTGCATAGGATATTTTTCACTTGACTTATTCTGCTTTTAATCTCTGTCACACATTTTCCATCTGATGATATGAGTGTTCCCAGATATTTGAATTTATTGACTTGGTTAAGTCTTTTTTCTTCAATTGAGTTATCACACCGTTGAGTTATCTTCTTCTTGTATATAACAATTCCTTCCGTTTTCATTAATATTTAATGAAAGTCCTATCTTAGCACTCTCCATCCCCACAATATCCAGCAGTTGTAAAACAGTTGCATTGTCAGCTATCAAAACTGCATCGTCTGCATAATGCAAATTGTTTATATTATATTCTCCAACTCTTATTATTATTAACTTTTTTATTTTTATATATAAATATATATGTGTGTATATATATCCTAGGAAGAGGAAATGCTAAATAAAAATCTTATGTTTCGGCAGGGCATTCCAGGCCCTTAGTCTTGCCTTCACCTAATCTAGGAGGGAAGCTCCGACAGGCGGACTAACAGAGTATTGCTCTTCTGATTCCGCAGCTTCTGCAGCCTGCTTTGTTCCAGGCATACTGGTGTTACCTTTCCTTTAAAGTAAACAAGTGGGCAACATATGATCTCTACAATACTGCCCAGGCTTTGTGCTTTGGAGAGAATCACACCTGCCATGGCCATGGGCTGTCCCATGCCTCCTCATACCGCAATATAACATTTGTCTGGAAAGACGGAAAGGTGACACTCAGTCGCACATATATATATATATGTATCATATACTATACTTGTATGGTTTGTATGTGCACAAAGTACCGCATCCACAGTAGCTGCGACTCGCTCCAGCCTACGGCCGGTGTTTGAAACAGGGTGGTTCCCCAGGTTCACCCAGCCTCTAGGTAATGGGTACTGGAGTTAACACTCTGGGGTAAATGGAGGAACGTCGCTGTAGCTACGGAGCTGCAGACAGTTTCTTATCATCTGTCTGTACTGGTGGCAGAGCACTTATGGTTTATAACCATGTGCAATGACGCTGGTTCACATCTCCCAAATTTACCTTTTTACCTTTACAATTAAAAAATATCAGGGATACCCCCTTAAAAAATAAGTTGGTGAATTTGGCTATGAACCCTGCTCTTTGTTTTAAAGGTCTGACATAGACCCAATATTTTTTATAGTCCTGGGGGGGGGGGGGGGGGGGGGGGCATGTTAGAATAGAAAACAAAACAACAATTGACGAAAGAGATTTCTGTATGTGTGAGTGTCAATGACCTCACCCCTTACAATTTATTCTACAGATAACCAGTTGAAACCACCGCCCTAGAGCAGATTTTTTGTTTTAGTTTTATAAAATTAAATTGTACAGCTTTTAGGCAAATGGAACTGTAGCTAGAATTAAGCTAGATTAAGTTTAAAAAACAGAAGAATAAGACAGAAAGAATAAAGAAATGTATACTGTATAAAATATATAGCAATGCAGACTTGACATAAATCAAAAGGAGGATGGCCATAGCAATACAAAGATTAAACAGCATTAAAAGTCTATGGTTAAGCACCAGCAAGGAAATCACCATTTTAATTTTTAGAGCATCCATATTCCCTGTGGCAACATACCGATGTGAGTCGTGGCTTCTCTCCCAGTGCTTAAGAAAAAAATAGGGGCTTTTGAACATCAAGGAAGATTAACTATTAACTCTTTGAGTCCCAGATGGCTTAGCATCATAGGCCCAGGTGGTAGTAAAGAGAGTAATAAAGTCAGCGCATCATGCGTTTATTGGGCTTCTAGGTAGGAGCCTATGAACGTATGATGCGTTCCTTGGGACTCAAAGAGTTAAACAGTATCTTGACTCTAAAGCTGAAATTCTTTGGTCATATCAAGTGATATTGTGGATTGGGAAGAAAAAATGCAGAGTGCATGGTACCAGGAAGGAGGGAGCAAGGGCGGACCAGCACGAAGATGGGCAGAAGATGTAAGTGACTTCTTGAATGTGAAAGTACTTATGGCTGGAGAGCTAGCAAGGGACCGAGTTTCTTTCAGGTAGCCCGTTCTGAGAGCGGCATTCTGCAAAGGACCTGCTACACGGTGATGATGTTGATACTATATAAAGAGTTGACCATTGAACGTATTGTGGGTTTCCTGGTGCTGAAAGAGTTAACTGTTTTTTTCTTCTTATTACTCAGTTTAAAACCAGACCGCAGAGATGGGAAAAAAGAAAGGCCGCACAGGGCAAAAGAAGCTACAAGGCCCTAAGGCTAAAGCAGTGCAGAAAGCAAAGAATCACAAGAAAGCTGAATCAAAGTCCAAAGCCAAATCAAGAAAAACACAGTCTAAAGCTGTGAAGACCAATCTGAAAAAGGTGAGTCAGTTTATGATAGCAATTGCATTGTAAAGCTGTACTTAGTAGTGGTGGTTTGGTGTAAAGGTGGTGTACTGTGTGAAGGTGGTGGTGTAATATTGTTTAGGGTCAGTGGTGGTGATATTGTGTGAAAGTGGTGTACTGTGTGAAGTTGGTGGTGATATTGTGTGAAAGTGGTGTACTGTGTGAAGGTGGTGGTGATATTGTGTGAAGGTGGTGTACTGTGTGAAGGTGGTGGTGATATTGTTCGAAAGTGGTGTACTGCGTGAAGGTGGTGGTGATATTGTGCGAAAGTGGTGTACTGTGTGAAGGTGGTGGTAATACTGTGTGAAAGTGGTGTACTATGTGAAGGTGGTAGTGTAATATTTTTTTAGGCTCAGTGGTGCTGATATTGTGTGAAGGTGCTGAGGGTGATATTATGTGCAGGTTGTAATGATGAAATTGTGTGAAGATAGTGGTGGTGATATGTTACTGTGTGAGACTAGTGATATTGTATGAACAGATCATTTTGTAAAAAACCTACTAGAACTGTATAAGAAGAAGCACACTGTTATTATTATACCCTTTGTAAGTAAGTAAAATATCCCTTGTCACACATTTAGGCACATCTAGCATTTGGGAAAAGCACCTATATTTTTACTGACCTATCAGCACTAGGTGGGCAATGTATTAGACCATGTTTCCTAAACTTGTCATAGTTGCAGCGCCTTTTTTCAAATTAAATTTAACTAGTATGTGATAGATAAATAAAAAATAAAAATAAAAACTCTTGTATCTTCAAATATTTTGTGGCGCCTATGTCAAGAGGTTGTGGCGCACAATATGAGAATCACTGTATTAGACCCTAGAAAATAATTGAGTCTTATACTTGAGGAAATACAGTGTGTGTGTGTGCGTGAGCGCGCGCGCAAAATGCTACAAGAATATAGTAATATTAATACCTAAAACCCCATGCACTACTTTATATATTTGTATGTTCCTGAAATGCTGAACCCTTCAATTAATCCACTTTTCAATGTAATATTATATTTGTTCTATTATATTTTGATCTTTCACAGATGTCCTTTGACAACAGCAAGAAGATTGACCTCCTCAATGCCGACATTACCAAAGTTCTAATGGCACCACCCAAGCTAGCTCCAGTCACGTCTGATAAGGTACCACAGGCAAGTCTCCCAGCTAATAGATTAATCTGAGATTAATCTGAGAATCCTAGTTTGTTGAATGGCTTGTACTAGCTCAGGGCTATTCAACTAATTTTACTCAAAGGCCAAAATTTCGAAGAAAAAAGGGAACGTCACGGGCCAGAAATCAGAGCCTTAGTATAGAAGTTTATTATTACAATAGTTGACAGTGATCTGTGGGCCACTTGTTAGGTCTTCGTGGGCCAGATTTGGCTAGCGGGCCACCAGTTGAATCACCTTGTCCTGGTTGGTTAAAACCAATTTATTAGATAATATGTTACAGCTGTGTTCCTAGTTCACGAAATTGTCTGATGACATTTTTACATTTCCCTGATATTGTAATAAGTAAAAGTGAAATGACCCTTTTCCACACCTTCAAGCATATGGAGAAACATCTGTATCAGAAATGTTTGGTTTTACATGAGGCAGAAGGCTGTGGGTGACATGTGTTGGAGTTAATTGTATGCACACTGCCTAAATTATGTCTAGTGGTAGTATATTTGCCTGCCACGTGGGTGATCCAGGTCTGTTTCCTGGTCAGTTGCAACTAGTGAGACTCGCTTAAAAATCAATATTGCGAAGAGGCGAGGTTAGTGTTTTTAGTCAAGGCAAGTTTTTACTTCAGGCAATAGTTAGCCTTTGTATTTGTCTCCATATGTGGACTGAAAGGATTTAGTTTTGTCACCCAGCTGCTGACTTGGTACAACACTGTGCGCTGTGGATTTCATTTGAAATGCTTTTTTTTTTACTGTGCCTAATGTGGTCTGTGTTGTGAAACGCAGATTCAGAAAATAGTGAGTGGCCTGTTGCCAGAGAATTAACTGATCTGTTGTAACTTCTGCTTCCATTGACAGTGAACTGCATGTCCAGTGCCAGACTGTCTTTGTTGCCAGTTTTGCCTTCTGCATGTATATGAATTGTTTTTGTTGAGTCTGCAGTCTGAGTCCGGTTTTCCCCCACAAGTGATGAACATTATATCTGTCCCTGTAACATGGCACTAAAAATGCTGAGCATGTGCTCCAACACTGTCAACTGTATGCTGCCAACTGAGATGTGATCTGGCCTGTTCTAGCCACAATGAAGACACAACTGTATGGCACAGGAGGAGATTTGGACTGTATGATAGCTTTTATAAAGGCTACTGGCCTCCTGATGTAAGTTTTTTTGACAGAAGGATTGAAGAAAAGAAAAAGAAATGTGGTTTTCATTGCCACAAAAATGGAGCAACTAGTGGAGGTTACCTGTTTGCTGTGATATTTTGTTGGAACTGCGATATCATGATTACTATAAATTATGTGACACTTAAATGGTCCTTTATATTCAGCAGAAAAAGCCACAAGTGGAAGATGTACCCATACCAGATGTGGCCTCAATAGAGCAGCAGATGGAGCAGATGTGAAGTGTGCTGTTGAGAACTTTCGTTTACTATCATGTTGTCACCACTGTAAATAGATCTATTTGAGGACTCTATAATGAAATCATTTTGATGAAATAAACCGATGTTATGAAAAATAATGTGTTATCTTCTTCTCACCCTTGTGTTCACTGGCTATAAATTTTTCCAGAAAGTTCTGGTTGTTCGTCATTTCCTGGAGTTTCATCTTATTTCAGAACTTAAGTTTTGCATGCAGATCTGTTTTACAGATCTGGCTTATTTGTATGCAGACTACTGGTTCCTCACCTATCAGATACACTCAGACCTTGAAAGGAACACCCCTAATTATGAGACTCGTATTCTTACGACATGCTTGTTTGGGGGGGGGGGGGGGGGGGGGTGTCATGTTTGTTTGTTTTTATCCCGTATTAGGGCCCCTGATGCAAAGTTTTTTTTAAGTGTTTTTAAATGTGTAAGTGACTGTTTTCGTACACATTTATTATGTAATGTGTGCCTTCTGTTAATCTGAAGCTGGCTGCAGTGGATTTGTTTTTTTCAATGCTGGCCTTAGGAATATTGCACTGTGAGGCCCCAGTCTCTTTCGCATTGATAAAGTGGATAATTAAACGTTTCACCATTTCAGGACCAGACAGACATATAAAGTAGTGCAGGGGGTTTGAGGTAATAATATTACTACTATTGTAATAAAAATGTACACGCACACATATTGTATTTCCCCAGGTATAAGACTCAGTTACTTCTCTTTGTGCCTTTATCCACCATTGGAACATAGGGTCTTCACTATTTCGGTTCCAAAACATTTTGTGCAACAGTCATTTTTTTTCTTCTATTAAATAGAGCCACGAAAATTCTAACCACATGTGTATGTTGTAAGAAAGACAAATAAATGAAGTACCATAGGTTGCCAGATTTATTTCGTGTACTCTGACCAAAATGTAAATATAAGAAGACATGTGATGTGTTGTTTGAGGCTGAGGGAGCTCACCAACTCAAACACCAGGTAGTCCTGTCCTTTGCTGTTGCAGGCAGTTTTCACACCATGAGGCACACTGGGGGTTAGGCCCATATTATGACCCCAGTCTGCACTAAGTGGCTGAGTTAGTCCTTGTCCTGCTTGTTGTTTTTACATCATAGCAACTTTCTAGACACCAAATTTATGCTATGTCGACATTGGATATTAGATCAGTGATGAATGTTTTCACTTTATAGCAACTTGAACAAGGTCAGGTAGTGCTTACTGGGCAATACTCTGTTGTGGTGCTTTTGCCGGAAAAAATTCTCGTGTTTAACCAGCATCCCCGAAAGGGGAGCTTTAGGTTATAAGTGTGACTAAGTTATATGTGCTTTATATTGAAATGGCATGGCTTAGCATTGCTTGCCACCAAGAGCCCTGAAAAGGACTTCTGCAGTGTTGATGCGATCACAGAAAACAGACCCACATACCTGTCCCAACCAGAGACGAAGTTGTCTACGGGTGAGCCAATGAGCTACCCAATCGCAAATGTTCTACTGTCACTAGCTAAGTAAATAAAGTAATCAGTAATCTTCTCTACTGCCCTTTATTTCCCTGTTGGAGCATAGGCCCTCAACTAACTCACACCCGGTAGTCACATCTGTTGCTAACCACCCATGCCCTCCTCATCTTTTAACTTCCCTCTCTAGCTCTCTTCTCCATTTTTCTATTAGGGCTGTCTGCCTTTATTAATATTTTTGTGTGTGTGACCCTGTTGGTTCCAGTGCAGATACATTCTTGTTATATTCTAAGTTTTTTTTGGGGTGTGTGTCCTGTTCACGGCCGGGCTCGGGCTTCTAGAGAAAGCAATGGTCTGTCCAATACCAACGTCTTTTGTTCACCTCTTGTCTCAACGGAAACTGCTTTGCTCTCTACCAAAGCTCCGTATTAGTGAATCTATCTGAAAGCTAAAATAGTTGTCTTTTTAAAAAAACTATCAATGGAAGAAAGTAAACCCTGCCACATCGAGGGTTCTCAGTCACATTTACTAACCTTTAAGGCACAGAATATTAATTAATGCATTTAATAAATTGCAGATATTTTTAGACTCCCTTCTATCATCAGAACATGATATCCCACTTGTTGCCAGAAGTTAAAACAATGAAATTGTTGAATTAAGAATCAACATCATAGCAATCATGACACGCCAGTAAGCGATCTATCCCAATCTTCAGCAGCAAGTGAAGAGTTCCAATTCCGTTGGTACCAGTAACTGTCTGATTATACATCCATCTCGCCTTTCTGTTGAGCGTCGGCCAGATCCCCTAGTAACTCCTCGCAGCGCCATTCTCCTCAGACCGTAATTGTTTATTTGTGCCTCCACCCTGTTCACTCCCTCCCTAAGGATACTCACAACATCTTTTTCTTCTTTGCGTTCACCAGCTGTAAACTGGTGGAAAGTTTTGGTTGTTCGTCCACTTCTGGACTGCAGTCCTTATTCAAGACCTGAGTGTTGCGCAGGCATCTGTTTGACAGACCTGACACATTTGTGTGCAGACTGTTGTTTCCTTGCCTCTGAGGCAGATGCACTCTGACTTCGAAAGAAGCTCTCAATTAGTTGACTTTTACAAAATGCTTTTAGGTAGGCAGTGGGTCTATTCTTGTTTTCCTTATAATAGGGTCCCGGAACCCACACGGGACCCTCACAACATCTAACTTGTTCACCACGAAGTGTTGTGGATCGTCTTCTTTGTACACCGGCTGTAAGCTCCGGCGGAAAGTCCTGGTTGTTCGTCCACATGGACTTTGGCTTTGTACCAGGGCCTGAGCTTTGCGTGTACATCCGTTTTACTAGCTTATTTTTGTGCAGTTAGTTGTTCCTTCGCAGCCAGGACAAATGTACTCCGACGTTGAAAGAAACCCCCAATTAGTCGACTCCTACGACATAGTTGTTGAAAAGGCAGTGCGTCTATTCTTGCTTTTTCCACAATGGGGCCCCAGGTAACTCACACGGGGATGGATGTTGGAGGTCAACTGGAGCTAATGTTTCCTGTTTCCTGAGGGTTTGATTTAATTTCCTTTCTCAAGTTTTTTTTTTTTTTTTTTTTTTTTAAATATAAAAATAGAGTTTAAATGCTAAATACTGTCTGTTCGGAATTTTAAAAACAAACAAAATAGGTACATTAAAATCTTACTTTTGTCCTTGTATAAAACAATTTCCTGCTGGAAAAGAACTGAGACTGATTAAAAGCCCCGGTGAAGGCTGGGATTTTTTCACATGGACTTCTAGGAATTTTCCCTGGTCCATAGGTAGTAAGATCAGACGCCCGTGTGTTTTACTGTGCACGTAAAAAATCCCCGGGCAGCTGGAAATCGAAAAGAGTAGCCTAACGGCGCTGTCGGTGAAAAAATTTGGATTTAAAACTCTACCCAAAGTATTTCAGGATTCTCGCCGGTGTTACGGAGTTTATGCACTGCGTAAGATTCTTCAGACTCAGGCTTGAGATAGAACTAGTACCGAGCACTTATGGGCTACTACCCTTGTGTACGGCAATTATGGGTTACTACCCTTGTGTCGGAACACTTATGGGTTACTACCCTTGTGTCATAATGTTGATCCGTTGTTCAAACCAAACCATCTTGTCACACTCCATCTACCCAAAGTATTTCACGATCCTCGCCGGTGCTACAGAGCCTGTGCATTGTGCTGAGCTTCTTTGGACCCAGACTTGAGTTAGAAGAAGAAAGGAGCACTTATGGGTTACACCCGTGTGCCCTGATGTTGATCAAAACCTCAAGCCTCAAATAATAATCTATTCGTGCCTCTACAATGTCCACCCCCCCCCCAACCCCAAAAAGGACCATGACTATATCTAGCTTCCCATGCAGAAACCAGCTAATCTGTCTGTCTGCTCATTTCCTGACACTCCTTATCTTCTTATTCTTCTGTTCCACCATTTACCTCAGCGAGGTGTTGGAAGGAGATGTACAAATCGTGTGTGCGCTTTTTGCAATGGATTGTGCAAGTTGGTGTTCATTCATGACGGAGAAAAAAATATTAATAGATATGATGCTTCTCGTCCTTATCAGGACGAAATTTTTCGTTATTTGAAGCCCCACCCTGGCTTTTGCCAGGGGCCGCAATATAGGCAGGCCATAGAATGGCCAATTGTCTGAACGCGGTTTCTGGGACCTCTCCACGGCGATCCTCATCCGCATGGTGGCACTTTGTGTCATCGGGTGTTTATCGCTTGTGTGATGTCCTGGTGGGGTATAAGTCAGTCAGTCAGTCAGTCAGAAAAAATAATATCTCATTTTCTCTCTATTTTCCTTTTCAGGATGAAATTTTTTTATTTGAAGCTACACCCTGGCTTTTGCCGGGGCCGTAATATAGGCAGGTCATAAATATGGCCAAGTGTCTGAACGCGGTTTCTGGGACCTCTCCACGGCGATCCTCATCCGCGTGGTGGCACTTTGTGTCATCGGGTGTTTGTCGCTTGTGTGATGTCCTGGTGGAGTGGAAAGTCAGTCAGTCGGTCAGAAAAAATCAAAAGAACGTTAACTACCTGGGACCTCTTATCGTTCAACCTTTAAAGACGTTATTATTAGGGCACCCGTAGCGACTACACCATCCAGGTTTTGGCTGCAGTCTTGAAGGGGTAAGGTGCTAGGTTTCGGTTTGAACAACGGATCAACATCATGGCTCATGGGTAGTAGTAACTCATAAGTGCTCCGTTCTACTTATAACTCAAGTCTGAGACCGAAGTAGCTCATCGCAGCGCATGGGTTGTTACTAATATCTGGAGGCCAGGTCAACTATCAGTATCCTAACACCTATCAAGAGTAACCTCTAGCACACGAGGCGGACACCATAGCTCGAGACAACGCAGCTCTTCCCCCCCCCTCTCCCCCCACTCCCCCCAGGTGCTAGGAAGGTGCTTTGCTTGAACAACAAATAGTCACATTCAGCCAGCACCACGGAAGCAGAAGCTTTAGGTTATAGTTGTGACTAGGTTATGTGCGCCATAAATGCATTTGCACCAAAAGCCCTGGAAAGGACTCTTGCTGTGTTGATGAGATCAAAAGAGACAGACCTAAATTCTGTACCGACCGGCGACGATGTCGTCTACCGGCGAGCCAGTCGATGACCCGGTCGTAGACGTGTGTGGGGATAAGCATCACACAGTGGTATATGGGGTTATATATTTGTGTGTGTGTGTGCGTGTTTGACGGGGGGGGGGTAATGGTTATAAGTGTGGGTGTATAAATAAATATATTGGTCTGGGTGCGTGTCTGAGTGTGCACGAATGTGATGTGCACGCGTGTGTGTGGGTGTATCTAATGGGAGTGTGTATGGTGTGCGCGAGCGCTTGTGTATATGTGTGTGCGTGTGGTGTGTGAGAGATAAAGTGTGTGTTGTATATGTGTTCGCGTGTGGTGTGTAAGAGATAAAGTGTGTGTTGTATATGTGTTCGCGTGTGGTGTGTAAGAGAGAAAGTGTGTGTTGTATTTGTGTGGTGCTCACAAATACGGGCGATAAGTAAGGGATCAAATGTTCAAGAACACATTTACTCGATTATTTCCCATGACAAGTGTCACATGACTAAGAAAATGGCCGACCCGATGCCAGTGAGAGCTGAATCAAGTTTTTCATCGTTAAGCGAAGATGTGGAGATGAAATCAAACGAAGAAGTTGCCACTGAAATGGCCGTTGGCTTTAGTAAATTTCTAAACTTGAATGTTGCAAAAGAGGTGAGAAGCAAGAATTATGTTTTGAAAAACACTAGACTGTAAGAATAGTTATTGAACCATTGTAGCTGGGATGCAAGTGAAGTTTGGGCTCTCCTCCGATTAAAAACGGTCCAAAAAAAAATTCATAATTCCTTACGCACGGCCAAAGGGGCTAAACTAGATGGCTGGGACTCACAAGCAGCAGCTACCTCTTCTCCTGCAGCTTCCTCCATTGTATTTGCTCGTGAGTCCTAGCCATCTAGTTTAGCTCCTTCCATGCCACACGTAGCAGCACCGGGGATACTCTCGGAGGTGGCACTACTATAGTCGCAGGAAAAATGTCTTACAATTTACATGAGCTACTTCTTCCGCAAGTACCAGCCTGGTCGCATTTGCCACGATCACTGGGTGGTCGGGCTAGTGGAGCGCCATAGTGGCCGCTACTGGTTTGAAGTTGTCCTGAGGCGAGATTAGAACGCGTCATTGCTGATAACGTGTTGCCCGGAACGAGAATTTAACTGACACTTGGCGAGCCTACAGAAACGTTGGGAAATTAAAACATGGCATTTACGACCACGCTATATTTGGCGGAGTTCCAATGCCGGCACAGCGAGAAAGAACAGATATTCGGGCACTATTTGCACTTTCTGTGCCCCAATTTTCACATATAAGCGATTTAATTATCGGTAAATAGTAGACTTCCCCGTTTTCCTCATACTTTTCCTTCCTTATATTTTCCGAGTTACAACTTTTAAATCTTTGTAGGGCATCACGTAATGAGGCTCTGTTAGGGTTCACTTTCTGATAATTTAGTACCGATATTCGGAGGAGAGCCGAAGGAAACCAGCACAGCTTGACAGAAATTTAAATTACAAATCTAACGACACTTTAATGAAGCTTGTATGTCAATTCTAAGCGGAAATATTAACATTTTAGTGGCGGATACCACCATAGATGATTTATAGTGAAATCTGACAAAAGATGGATTCCAGGCTGTGCCCCAGTAAAATGTAGGGATGAAATGAGAAAATGGTTTGCATTTTATGGCAATAACTATTTTGTTTATTAACAAATCCCTTGGCAACTATATATAATTGCAATCGGGACAGCGAGGCCACCAAACTACAACCTCTATCCCTCTCTGAAGAATTTAAAATTCTTCACCTGACAATTTTTAATTGATCTTGGCATCCCTGTCCACCCAGACTAAAATTTTCTGGTTTGTTATGTGTGACAATATCTGGCACTGGTAGTATAGGATAGGTATGAATATGCTTTGTATGAGATATATTTTTTGTGCTGATTAGGACTGTCTGATGCTGTAAAACTTAACTCTTGAACTAAGCATTACACAACAAAAATGAATCCACAACCTAAAGGCAACTAACTTGACTACTTTGCCATATGTGGAAGCCTAATGCATCACATCCCAGATAGTATCTGCCAGGAGTATATTTTGACTTTTATTGTTAGTTGACAGATCGTCCTCATTGCACTTTAGTCTATAATAACTAGGACTCCCCCTCTGTAAGTGCTGCATCGTAAGGCAGCTGATGACATCCGTTCACTGTTGATTTATTCTTCTTCTGTGACTTCCTGCATGTTTCCCTTATTTAGTCTCACCCCCTTTTTATTTTTTAGCTTTCTATTAACTTAACTTAACTTTAACATTCTATTTTTATACTTTTTCTGACAAAGTATAATGCTGAAATTGTGCACACACTTGTTACCTAACTGTTCTTGAATTCTGATCCTGGTTGCAGAATTATGGTTGTCATTTGGTTCTTCACCACACATGTCTATGTAGAACTATAAAAATTTTCTGGCCAGATACAATCTCAAACACTAAACTACTTCAAGTCACAAACCAAGAAACTCTAGACAGTATGATAAGCAGGAGAAAATGGAAATGGCTTGGCCACGTTATGAAAATGAATCCTGATGTACCTGCCAAAACAGCTCTCACATGGACACCAGAGGGAAAGAGAAAACATGGGCACCCAAAAACAACATGGAGACGAACGATGGAAAGTGACCTGAGTGTGGCATCTTTGACATGGAAAACTGCACGGAACATTGCACAGGACAGGAAATCATAGAAAGTCCTCTCTGAAGCCTCATGTGCCACTAGGCATAATGAGAACGGATGATGATGATTTGGTTCTTGCAAACGTGTTACTTCCGGTAGAACATTCATTATATCAATCTGGTCCATTGCTCCTTGGCCCTACACAGTAGCCTTTTTGCGTGCTTGTTGTTCATTTCCTTTTTCGCCTGCATCCCCTGACTCAAAAATGAAACTGATTTTTGTTACCTATAACCTTGCCTAGAGGCAGGGAACCAAGGTCTGTAAAGCAAATGTGCATGTAATACTCAGGTTCTAAAACAAGACTGAAGTCTGGAGGTGGACGAACAACCAGAACTTTCCACCGAAGTTTACTGTCACTGAACGTGAAGAAAAAAGAAGGTCACCTGTGACCATCTTTATCTTTCTGAACACACTCACTGTGTTACTGAGACAGAATGCCCAGGTGAAAGTCTATGTCTCCAGTCAGGTATTTGCTTTAGTTACTGCCATGACCTCCATATTCAGACTACTTGTAGTTAAGGGTGAGCCACCATGGTGTAGCAGCCAGGCACTTGCCTATGGATCAGAAGTTCATGGGTTCAGGTCCTGATGCTGCCAGATTTAAAATAAAATGACCAGGTTGACCCAATCTTGAGTAGGTACCAGGTACAGTCCTGGGAAGTAAAGGCAGCCAGCGTGATGCTGACCACATCACCTACTAAGTGCCGATTGGTCTTTAAATATAGGTCCAGCCCTATATGACCAATACACCTGTAGACATGGAAAAGAGTCCTTTACTTTTTTACTTTACTGTAGTTAAGGTAAACATCATCAGAATCTTCCTTCCTGGTTCTCCCTCCAACATTAGCCATAAAAGCACATGTACTTCTCAAATCTTGAAAGACAGACCCTTCTTTGAAAATGACAGCATCACCCTCACAAGAATTCTCAAAAATCAAAGCCTCGACTTCTGCCTCTGCAGCTATATTTTGTTGTCTAGTCAGGTGCATGCCTATATTGTGAGACTGAAGAAGAGTGAAGGAATTACCTTGAAAAGTAGCTATTTAGTGTTTTCTGTTGTGGCTGAAAATGGCCAGAATTACAAGGGGAAGTCATTAAGTAACGGCAGTTCCATTAAATATTTTGTTTTTAACAGTGGCCGGAACAAAATTATTCTTTGTCCTATTTCTCGAAAGTCTTCCTGCCTTACAACACGTGTAGTCCACCGATCCACAGATTGTAGATGCCCGCTTTGTAAAACTTGTAGGTGTGGTCAGTAACCAAGTTTGCACCACAGTCATCCCTTCATTGTCATCTGCAGACCTCTGACCCCACAAATGTTCTGAAGTTTGTCAGAATAGCTTTTACATAATGACTTCCCCCTTGTACATATTTTCTATCTGATATTGTTTGTTGCAGGAGCTGAAGTTTAATGACAGTGTGGAGATGATGCTTACCAAGCTGGATGAGTTTTTCTCTTTGGTTGACATGGTTAGTAGGTTTTTTTAAATTTGTTGTCATTGATGTTGTTTTTTTTGTTGTCGTTTTCAACCTCCTCTTTCTTTCTTCTCCTTCTCCATCTCTGCGTCTTAATCGTCTAATTCATCTTTTTTTTTCTGCTCCTCCCCTTCCTTCTCGTCCTTCTTTTTTCCTTTTCTACCTACACTTCCTCTGCATACAATAAATAAATTTTGGAAAATTTGTTTACTTCACACGCAGGTTTTGCTTAAAAACTGCATATTGTCACTGGCTTTCTCAATTATTATTATTATCTAATTACGTCCTTTTCAGGACGTAGTTTTTTGTTATTTGAAGCCCCACCCTGGCTTTTGCCAGGGGCCACAATATAGGCAGGCCATAAATATGGCCAATTGTCTGAACGCGGTTTTTGGGACCTCTCCACGGTGATCCTCATCCACATGGTGGCACTTTCTGTCATCGGGTGTTAATCGCTTGTGTGATGTCCTGGTGGGGTAGAAAGTCAGTCAGTCAGTGGCTTTCTCCCTTTTTTTTCTCCTAACGATACCAACATCCCCACCCATCAAGTACTGATTGGTCTGTACAAATTTAGAGTTAGCACCATATATCTAATATGCTTCAATCTATCTCAAGGGTTCTTTACTTCAGACCTTTTAGTATTACTTGTGGATGTTCTTATGGTCCAGGGCTATTCAGCTGGTCGCGTGCAGGCCAAATCCAGACCATGGAGACCTAGCAAGTGGTCAGCGGATCATTGTCCATTGTATTGTAATAATGATCTATCTTGCTGAAGCTCAGGCCTCTGGTTCATGAAGATCCCCATTTTGGGCATTTTGGCCCCTGAGTGAACTTTGTTGAATAGTCCTGTTGTGGTCCATAATGTGTGGCATTGATAGTCTAGTCAGGTCTACAACTTTCTTTCTTGTGTACTTTTAGTCAGTTCTGACACAGATGATCTTCCATTTCATGATGTCAGACTGTCCAGTACCTTTTCTCTCGGTCTTATTCTGCCCCCCCCCCCCCCCCCCTCACATTCCCACTGTCATGATGTGCTCCAGTTTTCTCTTTCTCTTGAAATGACCAAAGAATTCTCTTTCTCCTGTGGGTAATAAGTTCTCTTTATTTGTTAATGTCCTTCAAGACATCTTCATTCCATTTCCCCCCCCCCCCTATTTATCCATGATGTTTTCATCATTCATCTGTAAAACCATATGTCTGCCACTTTAATATAATTTTTGTTAATAGTACAATTCTTCTTCTGCCTTTCTATTCCCCAATGGAGCATAGTCCCTCAACCAACTCACGCCAAGTTGTTCTATCCTTCACCATTACATGGAGCTCTCCCCATGTCCTCCCCATCTTTCTAACTTCATTCTCCAGCTCTCTTCTTCATGTGTTGTTTGGCCTTCCTTTATTCCTATGCCCCTGTGGGTTCCAATGCAAAGAAATAATAGTAGTACAATAGTTCTTTAATAAAGTACTTCATTTTCTTTGTTTCTGATACGCAATATTTTTGATTTGTCTGGATAAAGATTCGAAGTGATACAACCCTTTGTTTATCAACGACGCTTCCAGATATCCAAGCAAAGTGTGCAGAGATGGAAATTATTTTTGAGAAAATAGACAAATTAGAGGTAAGGGTAGAAACAAATGAAACTAATTACTTTGGTATAACATAACGATTTAACACATTAATTGTGTGTTTTGTGGCATGGTGGTTTCGATCACAGGTTTGAGGAGAAGGTTAGTCCGTTGTCTGGTGTATGAGGAGATACTCCAGACCTCACCTTGGGCATCACCAGGCTCTATGCTGGTTTTCTTTGATCCTCATGCCACACGTCCCCGTCATGCACCACAGATAATGGCTCATGTTTGCCAGAACTGAGCTGGCAAAGGATCTCGGAGTTGGTGGCTCCAGAGATGCAGTGCCCAGAGATCCTCTGGCTGTCATCAGCCCCCCTCCAATGCATGGGTGAAAACGTCTGTCGAAACTCATTTGGAACATGAGTGAAGCCTGTTAGCCGATTATACTATGAAATGTCAACTCTCAGTTAAAACATCTGTCGATTGAAAGAACTACTGAACTACCGAGACTCAATTGAGCTACGGAGTTTGTGCTCTGCGCGGCGCTCTTGGCGGGCTGCTAGCAGTTTTGCAGAGAGAGACTGAGCCATATGGGATCAAACTCGGTGTAATGAAGTCGATCCTCTTGACTTTAACCTTTAGCCCTAGACAGAGAGATTTTCCCACAGTTTAGGCGAGCAACATCTCCTGTCGGCGATATCTCATGGTTCAGTCCTGGCTCCTTACATTCTTTTGTTGATCCCTCAACATCAGCATCACCACGGTGAGATATGCCACGACAGTCTGCCACTGTCACTCAGCTGAGTATGTTCAAATATCTGTCAGTCACGAATCCTACAGAATGACAGCAAAGCCTCAAATATCTGACCGTCAAAAGTCCAACTGTTTGCCAGAAAGCTTCAAATGGCCATGACCATAGGCCCCACTCGTCAGGGGGCCAAACAGGGCAAGCTATACCTGATGCATGCTTGTTCCATACTATCGTGTAAACTGTCCAGATAAAACAACATTGAAGATGTCTAACATGATGAAGAATGTACCTATTTGTGGGGTAATTGAAGTCCCACATCTGCTGGTTGTTCAATGCTAATCTCTGGATGGTGCAGCCTGTGATGAGTGCAAAGCTCAACATACGTATGTGAGGTTAAGTAGTCATGTGCAGGATATGACAATTCCTTGGGTGAGCCCAGAACCAGAGTATCATGTCGGCTGTGATTTTATTGAAGCCTCCTTGGATGGATGCCCATGATCTGCCCCAGTCTTCCCTAGAAGGCTGACCAATCTACATGTAGTTGCTTTGGATGGTTTTTCCAGGGGGCAGCACCTGTAGATAAGGGGACAAAGAGATCACCACACAAATAAGGCTGCATTGTGTCCCATGAAACTATTCGGGAAGTTAACCCGGTCAACAAATGCTCATTAAAGTTGAATGTGTTGACCAGAAGGCACAAATATCGCAGCTTTGCTGTAAACAGGCACAATGCAATTAAATTTGTTTTAAAAATTAAAAAATTTTTTTTTCAGATAAATCAACAATACACCTCTACATCCAAGCCCATGCTAATCAAGTAATGGGTCAACTATCTCCCCTTTTAACACAAGCAGATACCCCGGAGTACAAGTAATAGGTCAACTATCTTCCCTGTTGACACACGAGCAGATACCCCGGAGTACAAGTAATGGGTCAACTTTCTCCCCTGTTGACACACGAGCATATACCCCGGAGTACAATTAATGGGTCAACTATCTCCCCTGTTGACACATGAGCAGATACCCCGGAGTACAAGTAATGGGTCAACTATCTTCCCTGTTGACACACGAGCAGATACCCCAGAGTACTAAAGTGAATCTTTTCAGAACTATTTTTTGGCCAACACTATGCTATCAGTTCCAGACGTGGACACTTACATTCTCCAATGAATGTAAAATTGTAACGACAGAGATGAAATGCCTTAGAAGATCTGCAGGAGTTTCAAAGAAAGACAGAATATGAAATCACGAAATTAGACGAATGCTAGGAATAGAGCCAGTCTTACAAGTTATCAAAGAACAACAAGTGAAATGGTTTTGACACCTAATATTAATGCCCTGATACTATCTGCCACAGCGAGCCACACTAAAACGTTACAACGGATATAGAGCGAGTGGAAGAACTCAGAAAATGTGAAGTGATGGCCTTACAGAAATGAACATCAGTCTTTATAGTGCTCTTGACAGAGCTCATCAACGAATGTTACATCTCCCCTGACACTGCGCTGAGGTACAAGGTGAAAGAGAAGAAGAAGAAGACACCTTTACATAAATTAGTAGTGAGCCTTCAGGCAAGCTAATGTCTCAAAATAAATTAGAGATGGGTTTTTAGTTAAACCAACAATTTATCTTGAAACACACTAGTTATGAGGTTTGAGACCGACCAGAGATATAGTTTTAAACAACTTAAGATAATATTGTATTCACTAGTTATGCCCCACAAAACTTACTGGGAAGGCTAACCTGGTCAACAAATGCCTGCAGAAATTGGATGAGTTGTTCCCATGTGGCTTGCAGTTTTTTGTTAATTGAAGCCCCACTCTGGCTTTTGCCATGGGCCCTGAATATAGCCGTGCCATAAATATGGCCTAACGGCTGAAAGGGGTTTTTGGGATCTCTCCACAGGTGATCCTCATCTGTATTATGGCACTTTGTGTCACCGGGTGTTTATCACTCTGTGTGATGTCCTGGTGGGGTAAATTAAAAGAGACAGAGAGAAATCGGGTGTATCGGCCGAAAGAAGCAAATATCGCAGCCATGCTGTAAATGGGCACAGTGCAAATACATCTTCAGATAAGTGCAGAAGAAGGAGGGGAAAAATATTCATTAGTTCAGTTTTATGACTCATTAATTAAAATTACACTTGTAAACACATTTTTATATTGACATGCAGGAGTTTGTAGACGTTGTCAAAGAATGTGTAGCTGCCACTGAAGAGAAAGTAGCCAAGGCAGAAAGTGACCTGGGGACAGTCGGTGGACTCGTAAAGAAACTCACTTCCTTCGTCTCTAAGGTAGTTACAAGCATTTTGTGTGTCCTCTCCTAGTTACAAGCATTGTGTGTGTCCACTCATAGTTACAAGCATTTTGTGTCCACTCATAGTTACAAGCATTTTGTGTGTCCACTCATAGTTACAAGCATTTTGTGTGTCCACTCATAGTCACAAGCATTTTGTGTGTCCACTCAGTTACAAGCATTTTGTGTGTCCACTCATAGTTACAAACTTTTTGTGTATCATCTCCTAGTTACAAGCATTTTGTGTGTCCTCATAGTTACAAGCATTTTGTGTGTCCACTCATAGTTACAAACATTTTGTGTCCACTCATAGTTACAAGCTTTTTGTGTTTCATCTCCTAGTTACAAGCATTTGGTGTGTCTACTCATAGTTACAAGCATTTTGTGTGTCCACTCATAGTTACAAGCATTTTATGTGTCCACTCATAGTTACAAGCATTTTGTGTGTCCACTCATAGTTACAAGCATTTTATGTGTCCAGTCATAGTTACAAGCATTTTGTGTGTCCATTCATAGCGTGGTGGGTAATGAACAGGCAGACAGATTGGCTGGATCTGCACCATTGGGTGGTGAATTGATACATGACAAGGCAGATGTGGTCAAGGGCCTTTTGCAACAAGAAAATTATTATGGCCTGGAGAGAATGAAAGATCTGAACATCAAGGAAGATTGGCTAATAAACAGCATCCTGTCTCGGAAGCTGAAATATTTTGGTTATATCATGCGCCACAATGGATTAAAAAAAAATTATAGCAGAAGGCATGGTGCCAGGAAGGAGAGGCAGGGGCTGACCAACATGAAGATGGGCACAATATATAAGTGACTCTTGAGTTAAAGTACATGAGGCATGAGAGCTGGCGAGAGACCGAGTTTTTTTTTTTTAGGCAGACTGTGATGAGAGCGACATTCTGCAGAGGACCTTCTACATGATGATGAGGATGATGGAGAATATGCGGCATCTGGGTGTAACCACAGGGTCTGGTCGTCTCACTACACTCAAAGGAAAGGCAAGACGGACATATAACCAGATTGTGATCGGTACCATCAGTAAAATTTGCGCTGGCTGCTGAAGATGAGGACGGAACATGCATGGGAATGCCCTGAGTGCTGTGATGTAAATTCTTGACTAAACTCAACTTAAACTGAACTGGGGATTAAAACCCACTCAATGTTCGCACCGATTCTTCCAGCTTTTCACCCTTATCCAAGACATAAATGTTTGATTCACTACTTCAGGATCATGGAAGCTGCAGCAGCATAGAGGCTAGGCACTTGCCTGCAGGTCCAAAAATCTAGGGTTTGAATCTGCTGTGAGGCAGATTTCATTTCTTCAAAATTGACTAAAGCTTCCTGGTTGACCCCCACCTAAAATGTAAAGTTCTGGGCAGTAAAAGCAGCCAGCATGATGTTGGCCAAACAAATCACTGAGTGCCGATTGGTCTATAAAAATATGATTCTAGCATTGTATGCAAAATGCCTAAAGAGGATCCTTGACTTACTTGACCCCAGGATCCCAAAGGAGCCGCTGGCTGAACCGTTATGAATTCAGGGGAAACCCATATTGAGAATTGTCAGCAAGGTTGGGAATTTGTTTTCTGTTGGAAGCAAAAATAAAATCAGGTGCTTTATTAATATCTTACCCCAAACAGAGGAAATCCACAGGTCACAGGACAGTCTAATATTTCAGGGGGTGGTAGATAGGCTGCATGCAGTCGTGGGACCTAGGCTGCATGCAGTCGTGGGACCTAGGCTGCACTTTCTCATGGGCTATGGGTGAGTTGGGGTTAGGGCCAGTTCTAGATGTTTTGGGGTCATTAAAAGCATCAGAAAGCCGGGAAACCCAGTCTTACCACCCTCTAAAATGTTGCACTGTCCTGTGACGTCATCCTGGGTAGGATATTAATAAAGCACCTAAAATTCGTAACTGTACAACCCATGGCTGACACACTTGCCTTGAAGCCCTAAAGCCTCAGCTCAAAGACCCCAGCCCTCACCGCAGAAGAGGTCAGTACAGGCAGTAATGTTAATACTTTGTTTATTTGTTTGTTTGTTTACCTCAGGATCATTTATTGAAGGTTGAATTAAGAATAGACATCATAGCACCCAGGACACTCCCATAAGTGCTCCGTCCCCATCTTTAGCAGCAAGCGAACTGTTTCAGTTCAGATGAAACCAGTAACTGTCTCATTGTATATCCGTCTCACCCTTATTTTGAGTTTTCAGCAATGGCCAGATCCCTTGGTAACTCCCAGCAGCGCCATTTTCCCAAGACCCAGGATTATTAAAAATCCACAGCCATTCGTTGAACCTAGCTCGTTGTGTTGGTGAGCAAGTGTTTACCACTAAGCAACCAGAGTTCCTAGAGTACATTAAAAAAACACATTATTTTGATTTCCAATTTCAGAAGAAGTCACCTATACAATCTGGCAGTAGGGGAAAGAAAAATGAGTTCATCCCACCCAAGATATTTTCCACAGAGGAATTTTTCGACCATGCAGACCCGGAGCAGTTAGTTGCTGCCACATCATCACACAATTCATCCCTAAACAGCTCAGACAGTAGTTTTCTAAAAACTTAGCTGTATGTGTTATGTTTTGTGTATGTAATTTGTGATGATATTATGTTGCTTGTTAATACAGTTTAAAACACAGCATTTAAAAATTCTGCCTCTGTTGGAAGCAAGGATTCACTTTGGCTTACAGTGTTGAGAAAATCTGACCATGTTGCCAGATGTAGATATAATTCAGAAAGTACTTTAATGTATGGATTAAAAAAAGAAAAAAAAGTTGTGAGATGTGAACCAGCGTCATTGCACACGGTTATAAACCATAAGTGCTCTGCCACCAGTATGGACAGCTGATAAGAAAAGAGTGTCAACTCTGGTACCCATTTCCTAGAGGCTGGGTGAATCACGGGAGTTGCCCGGTTTTGAACACCAACAGTGGGCTGCAGCTAGTCGCATCTGGATTTGAAAGTGAGCCTCTTATCGACTGCGTTAACGTGGCCCCTAAATATATGGATACAAGAATTGATTTGAAATCTGTTTTTCTTCAAAACTGCGTTTAAAAAAAAACACACAAAAATATAGCTACTGAAACCGTGATCTAGTGGCTAGCCACTCACCTGTGGATCCGAAGGTCTTGGGTTCGGGTTCTGACAGGGCCGGACTTTTTAAAAAATGACCTTGGCTCTCATGTTGACCCAGCCTTTGAGTGGGTACTATGTACATCCTTGGAAGTGTGGGCGGCTGGCGTGATGCTGACCACATCACCACCAAGGGCCGTTTGGTCTATAAAATATAGGACTAGCCCTATATACCCAATATGTCTGAAGGTGAGGAAAAGGGTCCTTTACTGAATATTTACTGAAATGAACATCATTTTGTCATAATTTGAACATTCAAAATGTTTGTAATTGAACGAGTGAAATTGTTGACATTGCCCACGAAATACATATGGTTTAACAAATCAGTTTGACAGCCCTATGTCATCTTGATCTTCGTTAGCTTTTAGGCGTTCCCATCAACTGATCAAAATGTGCCATCATGTAACAATGCAGGTTGTTTATAGCTTTACTGTTGCAAGACAACATTCAGCCATCTCCTCCTCATCCTCTTACTCCTCCCCCTCATTCACTTCACTTCCTGATTGATGATGTTATAGTCTGTGTTATTTATTTCCTTCATAACAAGTATTACATTGCAAACCATCTTGTTCTTGTGCCTTAGATTTGTTGTTGTTGTCACTGAGAGAGCATTCTGTCAGCATGGACACATCCTCATTATGTTATATTTGAGAACACAATTCAGTTTAGTCAAATTCAGCCATGAAATTTCCCATATTTTGGCTATTTTTGTGTAATTTTCAGCCTTTAGTTCCCTTATTTATTACCCCTTACCTAGTTATGCTCCGTTCATATCTATAATTTCATTAGTTGCATATTTATAATTTTATTTTCTCTTGTTTTTTTTTAAAGTCTAACTATTTTCTGTTGCCGTAATATCAAGTTTTCTTTGCTTATGCCATGGCTTTTTTCTGGCAGTACGCAGTGATACCCGATGCCGCACTTTAAAATTTTTTTCAAATTCAGCACTTCTGTAATAGACACTTTTAGATGAGTACTGGCAGAATTTATAGACATTTTATGGTGAGTACTGGTACAATTTGTAGACATTTTATAGAGAGTACTGGCACCTTTATTCTAGATTTAAAAAAACTTTGGCAGTAACATCCAAATATCCCGTGTTGTAAATACTCTAATCCTCCTCTAGTATTCTTTACTCACTTTTGGTATTATCAATAGCCTAAGTCTTCTCTTTTATTATTTGATCTTTAAAAGCATACAGGTAGAACCTGTGGAGAATGTGGATTGGATATCACCCTCGAAAAACTAAAATGTATCATAATTAAGGGTCCCTGCATGGGTTACAGGGAAAACAACAATAGACCCACTGCCTACCCAAAAGCGTGTCAAGAGTTTTTCAGCATAAGAATCTAAAGTGGTACCTTGATATTTATCCACTTTGGTATACTTCTTACTTAGTTTATGACCTGTTTAGAAACAACACATTTTGTTTGGGATACAACCTTTTTTTTTTTGGACTGTGACTCACATGCTAGAACTTGTATGTGTCACAATGAGTCACGACACCACACACCACCATTGTTTACCTCTGTAAAAGAAAGTGTTTGCTAAATGAATGGCTGTCAAGAAATGTGCAGAGAAGTACCACTTGAACAGAGTGCAAACAAGCCGTAATAGCACTCTCTGGCTAGACCAGACAAGGTCACATTTCTGAAACATCCTAAGGAGAAGGCAGAAGCAGTTGAGTCAAGAATTGGATAGATTTGAGTAGAAGTTAAACACATTGAGCCGCAGCGAGCTCTAATTAGTGACAGAGAAGAAAAGAAAAAGAAAGAGAACAAGAAAAAAAAAAGGCACACCATAATTTCAGATTCCTGAAGTTTTGTTGGAAGGGGACTCTACTTCCAAATAAAAACATCTCCTCCCCTCTCAGCCTGAGCCTGGGTAGCACCCAATTCTTCCCGGTAAAATAGTCAGCCTACATTTTCATTTTTTTCTTTTAACTGCTTTTGTTTTTATGTATTTTTAGTATTAAGCAGTGTTTTAATTATTTTATACAACCCCATGAATGTATAATATGCCGATAATAATTTTTGTTTTTTATTGAAACAGATAAACAGAACACTTTATTTCTTATTGGAAAATTATTTTGGTATACGTCCTGTTTGGTATACATTCAAGTATCATCCAAGGATGCAATGGATTACAGATGCATAGTAGTAGAGTAGATTTTTACCCCACTAGGACATCACACAAGCAATAAACACCTGATGACACTGAGTGCCACCATGTGGATGAGGATCACTGTGGAGAGGTCCCAGAAACCGTGTTCAGACATTAGACCATATTTATGGTCGAGCTATATTGCGGCGTCTGACAAGAGCAGGGTGGGGCTTCAAATTATTTTTTTTAATGCACCTCGCAAGGAGATGACAGGTGCTAACAGATGCGTACATGGTATCACTATATTAACATTTGGAGATATAAGCATCATATTACAAATAAAAAATGTCACCATCTAAATACAAGGTACGACAATTAAGTAATGAGACTAATTCCATAAAAATTAAAATAATCTACAGTTGAAGATATAACCTGTATATGAATCAAAGTAAGCCCCTTGTGCATTGATACAGCAAGTGGCACGATCTAAGAAACACTAGAACGACCTCTGTAGTTCTTCTGTTGTTATGACCCTTAAAGTCAATGTTACGGCCCTTTGGATGTCATCAATATCGTTGAAGAAGCGTCCTTTAAATCGTAACTTTAATTTTGGGAATAGAAAATATTCACAGGGAGACAAGTCTGGGGAATAGGGTGGAAGACTGAGAACACACTTGTTTTTAGGCCCAGAATTCTAGTTTTGATGATGTCTCTTGGGTACTCAACCCTCTGATATTTTTGGTCAGCAGACAACGAATGTGGTACAGAACAGCAAGCAACTTTTTTCTTGCAAAGATCCTGCACTAAAATTTTATGAATGGTCTCTCTATTAACACCAGATTCATCTGCCATCATCCTCACAGTAAAACAATGATCTTTTTGTATCCGTTATCTGACTTTTGCAATGAGTTCATCATTACGAGCAGAAATTTGGCGTCCAGGTCTAGGTGCATTAGTAATCATTTCCACACCACTTTTTTTGGGTGCACCAATTCATCTGTTCCAATGGCGCTTTTTCTAAGTTTTAAAAAGAATTTAATGTTAGCTTTTTGCTCCGTTCTGATTATGTGACAATGCACCTCTGACTAGGTCACCAAGATGCGGCTTGTTTGTTTTCTGCTTATCGAGCGGCGATGAAAAGTTGCCAGATCATAGATGGATGTTGCCTCTTTAGATTCCATGCTTTGCTTCATAGATGGCATCTTTTTCTTAGCCACAATAAAATCAGTCTCACTACTTAATTATCATACCTTATATATCCAAGAAAACTCTGTGATGTGAAATCGTGGACACTGAACAAGTAATTAGACAGTCAGATTGATGCCTAGAGATATGAATTTGCAGAAGAGTTAGTTGTATACCATGGACACATAATCGGTCAAATTCATGGGTCCTGGGGAAATAAGTAAGTAAATTTACTGCACCAGGACATCACACAGAGTGACAAACACCCAGTGACACAAAGTGCCACCATGCAGATAAGGATCACCCGTGGAGAGGTCCCAGAAACCCCTTTCAGCCGTTAGTCCATATTTATGACCCGGCTATATTCAGGACCCCCAGCAGAAGAAAGGGTGGGGCTTCAAATAAAGACAAATTGCATCCCACATGGGGACGACTTCATATTCCCGGAGAAGCTGGGAATGAAAACAGTTGTTAAGAGAAATTTAAAAAATATAGTGACATTCGAAGATTATTGTAAGGTTTTGGAGAGAAACGTTTAAAGAGGCAACAGGGGGTAAACACTGAATCAGATAGGAAGATAACATCAGGAGATGAACAAACAGCCAGTCTTTCAATGTTGAATACTAGGCAAGAGATAGAGAGTGTGGACATGGGGTAAACACTGAATCAGTTAGGAAGATAACATCAGGAGATGGTCAAACAGCCAGTCTTTCAATGTTGAATACTAGGCAAGAGATAGAGAGTGTGGACAATCCATTTGTAGGCAACCTGCACTGCAGAGGTAAAACTAGATTGATTTGTTTTTTATCACCAGCTCCTGTTTATTTTGAAATTGATGCCTTTGTGAGTTCTGCTACCTGTCTCTGTCTCATAGGCACTGAAACTTGGGAGCTCAGGCATCTCGAGGCCACCCACTCCCTTAAAAATTTGCAAGGAGGTTATTTTATGTAATTTTCAGCCCTTTAATTCTCTTATGGTATCACCCTTTACCTAGTTATGTTCTTTTTTTTATCTGCAATTTCTTCAGTTGTATTTTTATAATTTTATTCTTTCTTGTTATTTTCTTAAGTGTAGTTATTATCAGTT